CCAATTTTACTATGTTATAAGGAAAAGAACATCTTATAGAACTATTTTTCACAAGATTTTAAAAATAAAATAGATACCTTCCGTGAACGTGAAATAAAAATGTGTCTCCGTAGAATGTAATTTTTCGATCGGTCTACACGTAACGCGAAGAGATAGGTCAGCCACTAGAAAAAAGAGGAATGAAGACGGAGAGATGGAATATATATATATATATAAAAGATCCGGATGAAAAGAGAGAGAGAAAGGGAATGTTGTAAGACTATAAGTTCGTTCAAGCGTCCGAAAAAGGGGAACATAAGAACACCCGTGGATTTTCGTTGATGTATCGCTCGAGGCATATGCGCGCTAGTGGTCCGGAGAGAGCGGGATATAACGACAGAGAGCGGGCGCGATGACGGGAGAAAGAGAGAAATATTTGTAGGTTACGTTGGCGGGTCAACGCCACCTATCTCTCCCTCGCGGGAGCAGCCTGTCACGGGACTAAAATTAAAACGAGGCACACCCACCCCGCCTACACACGTACACGATGCCCAGAAATGTTCAGGGACAGACACCAGAATCGACCTTAAGGCTTCGAGCTTTCTCTCCCTTTCTCTTTCTCATCGTTAACGTTGCCAACACAAGTTATACACACTGTGTGTATACACTCGTTGCTCCTTTGTGCTTTCAGCCTCGACGGCTCGCCTGTCCTTCAACGTAACGCAGCGACGCGTCTCCACGGATTGCGTTGTCGTTCGCAAGTGTCCCCTGCGCGCGCCACTACCTCTTCCTGCTCCCCCCTCCCCATCAACTTTCTTTGATGAGCTTCTAATAAGCCTGCAACGTATACACCGGCCACGTATCTGCTTTCATATCTCTTCACTCTCGCTCCGTCACACGACGACGCGACGCGACGCGACACAGCGGCAATCCTACAATAGCGCGCCTCTTTTTCGTACGCTTTCCACGTTCACACGGATGCAACTGGTGCGCGAGCATTTCTATACCGTGGTGGTTTTATATATATATATATATATATATACGTGTACGTGAAAACGAAGTTTCGTCGAGGTTCGTAATCTAGATGGCCTTCTCGAGTTATCGATCGACCCCACGCGTCGATAAGTTTCCCATACCGACCGCGGACATCGTGGTGATTATGTTGTCCTGGAAGAGTCGCGCGACGACACGGAGGCAGAAATACCGCGATTAGAAGCACATATATCTGGCGTGGCGTCGCGTGTAACCAGTCGGACGATCCGTGAAACGATTTACGACTTCGAGGGCCGGCCGCGATCCTGCCGGCACGACCAGCGAAAATTCGCCCGCGGATGTTTTGCGAGGATTGTAAATTAACGACATTTGATATAAATGTGATTTCTGTTGGCACACAACCAACACGAAATGGTATAAATAGAAGTTCTTCGCCGGGGATCCCTCTACCGCGTTTGTAACTCTATACACAATTTCTGTGTGTTTTATTTTCGGGAACGGTTTTACCGTAAAAGCGTGACAAAAACGTGGAAACACGCGAAGCTGGACGGCTCGCGGGAAACTAGAATTTCTGACACACTATTAACCAAGATAATTTCGACTCGGTTACGTCATGCAGTCCATAACACATAACACTCTCTCTCTCTCTCCCTCTCTCTCCCTCTCTTTCCCCCTCATTCTATCTCTTTATTCCTATTTCGCTCGCTATATCTATATGTTCCATGATCAAAGACGATGATGTCATGGGATAATTCCTACCGATTATAGAAGAATTACTCACGTTGATGTTTCCTAATTCAACACTGAATTCGAATAATTGCCGGATGAAAATTGTTTAAACGGTTCAAAATACCGAGTTTAACATTTCTATTTTTATAACACGTGCATTGAAGATTTCCTTTTATAATAATAAAATTCATTCATATAAGATATCAATTTTCACGGAGGAAAGAAAAATGAAACTATCTTGAAAAGCAACGGCGCAGAATAGATAACATAGATAGATAACACATTTTATTCAACGTAGATAACATGTTTATACAAATTGCGAAAATGGTAAAAATATATTAAATTTTCTGCAATTCATACATTTGATGTAAATTTTCTCAAGCTTATTTATATTTACCGCTCTATAATCACCATGCACAACAGAGATAATAAAGACATAATGGAGATAAAATTCCTATGCTAACAAGAGTAGCAATTCAAGATACTTCAAAACAACGATACAAAAGTTTCAATCTCTATTAATAGCTATTAGATTACCGCAAGTAAATGAAAATAATATACAATTGCCAGTAACATTGGTATTAAATCACTAAATATTTAAATATATAATATAACTTGTTAATTAAAATCCTTAAAAACGTATATATATATATATAACTTATAAATTGTAGCCCAATGCATCAGCGTTATTAATTAACCTAAATCATTGTACGAAAGGGTGGTTAAAAGGGTGAATTCCAAAGTATTCTTAACTTCATTAATTGAAACGAGTTCTATCCAATTTTAATTTCAATTTTAATCAGATCATCAAACGAGCAAGCAACATTTCTCCGCTATTCGATCAAACGTTCAAACAGATCTAATCTTAATATACACGCGAACAAGAATCGCGAACGCAAAAAAACAATTATCCCAAAGATAAATTTTGGAACAGTTCGTATACTATTATTACTCGTCTCTTTATTTCAATCATCAACAATACTTCCGGCATGCACGCGGTCTATACAGTGCCGTCATAGGTGTGACTTCCTGTGATCGCTATAAACAAGGACACCGTGTTTTAAAAAGGGTTCGTAGTACGTACTATACTAATGTAAGATTGAATAGGATAAAAGACACCGAGGTCGGAATGTTAGTGGGACACGCCCACAAAGGTACTGTAATTCGATGCGTAGAGTTCGTACACCGATACGTGTAGGATGTATTTCGCGTCAATTCGTTCGACATCCGCACGATGTCGTAGAAATTAGTATTTCATTGTGTATATGAAAATAGCATTTAACTCCATTAATTAGAAATCGTTAGAAAATAGATAAAAGAAAAATAATGATAAGATATAGATATATTGATTTCTTTTCGAGCTTTTCAATTTTTGTTTCAACGAGACAGAAATGTTACAGAAATATTTTGACAAATATTTTTAGAAAATTTCTAATAAGATATACATTTATAACTTTGCATTTTGATTTGTTATCGATTGAAATGAAATGTAATAATTCAGAAATATATTTCTAAACTTATTAAATTTATTAATATTAAATTTTAAGTTTTATTTCAGATTTATGTTCAATAACACAAGCGCAATTTAATTGCAAAATATAATTACTTCTTATATAAAAAAACTAAATCTTTATGTAATGGGATATTTTAGAGAAAAATATTTCGCCAATATTTAACGATTTTCAAACATTTCTACTATCTATTCCGAAAAAAAAAAATCAAAACTACAAATAGCTCGCATATATATTCACATTGGAACGCGAGATGACCGAAAAATCTCAGTCTCTTGTATAATTGAAAAAATACTTCATAAATAATACTTATATTAGAAAACTATACTTTTATTTATAAAAATATAATCCACTATTTTTCTAATCATTAGATATTATATTTATATCAGTTAATAATCATCGAGATATTTATATTATTAACGAAACGTATATAAAAAACGTATTTGCTTGATTGGTAGTCCATGCTTGTCAAAAAAACGATTCATAATATGTTCAAAAAAAGGAATTTCAATAGGAAATGAATGTGTACATCACGATAAAGAATCTGTGGAAAATAGTGAAACGTTATTCTACCATTTGTGAAAAAAAAAATAGGAGTCACGATATTTATCACAGCCACCAGCTAGACACTCTAAAGTAACGAGTTTCGCGAGTGCTCTTCTCACGCATCATATTATCTTGTTTTAGGAACGTGCCCGGTACAGGTGATGCATCTACATCAGTAACCACGAGCCCTAGAGGCATACCAAGCTTCAGACCTGTCTACATCCACGGTATTTTTACCCGTGGAAGGAAAACTTCACGAGAATTATATCGTCGGGCACTTTTGCCGTGGATCGCGAACAGCGAGCGAGTCATTAAATTATACACAACTTTCACGACGAAACCGGTTGAATATAAAATTCGAAACTATGGAATAATGTAAAATAATATTAAGAAAAAAGTAGAGATGGTATTATCGAAATGGAGTAAAATACCGCGATAAAAAGCGTCACGTTAACGACTCTTGTACCGCGTGAAGAAAGGAGAATTTAATGACACGTGGTTAATCGGTTGTCGGATATTTGCACACGTAACGTGCGTTACACGGGTTTAATACGTAGGTTTTGTGTGACACTTACAATGGAACTTTACAACGATTCTCAATGAAAGGTTCGTGTAGAAACGAAAACGTGACAGGTCAAGATGTCAATAATTTCATGTGCAAATTCAAGAACCGCAGTAATGTATTTGCGCGCGTTTTTTTCTGCGTTGCGGTGGTAACGAAGAAAACAACGATAACACGCGCGCATTAAGATCAACAATTTTAATAATGACAGACATATCCACGATTCGAAGGTTATGTTTCTTATGACAACCTTGGTTACCGTATGGTGAACAAAATCGCGTGCAATATGGAACAACGATAAGTCTGCTACCGAACAGAAACGTAAAAATGTGGCGACAATTCAAATGAGTCAACGACACGCGATAAGCGGAATGAACATCCGAGTGAAAAATATGTAAAATGAGTTTCGTAAAATAATCTAAGTAGCTCGTGAACAGCATAAACAAATAAAATGGTACATCGTCGTTTCTGCAACGGCGTAAAAAACGCAATTACGGAAACGATGACGTCATCGGTATGACGAGGTAAACCATAATATATGTCCAAATGCATACAGCACAGCGCCCACGCGCGGGCAATGGCGTGTACGACTTATTGCTCTATAGCTGCACGTATACGAACATATATAGATGTACACGTACACATACATATGTATCGTAAAATAGAGAGCTCTGTACTACCTTGCGCCGGAACACGCGGAGGTATCAGCCGCGATCTCGCCGTGATGTCGGTCACCGTGACAGGTTAGGCGGTCGGTGAGACTTCGCTGCTTCTTTGGAGCTTGCAACTTCTCACTGTAGTAACGAACAACACACAAAAGTACATATATATCTTATTTGTCAGCACTTATATCAACGATGACACGGCTTGTTCTTTCAACGTGTGACATACGAGCTTCGCTTTAATAGCCGTTTCCTTTGGACGCTGCACTTGCTCTCTTTCTCACTAACGAGAAACGGCGAAAAATATACTTTTCCTTTTATTACTCTCACTTTACAGTTCCGGTCGATCAGCCGGATCGCGACACACGAAGAAAACCACGAAAACTTGTTCTCACTTTAACAACGCTGGCCCGGATGTGTGCTCAACTGCTGCACTGTTCCAACTCATAATCAGTTTACTCGATCACAAGAATTCCGTTTTTATGTTCGCTCGCGCTTTCCCTTCAATACATCCGCTGCTAAAAACCACGCGCGACTAGACGACGATTGCAAGAGCAATAACGACGACGTACTGCGTGTGCGACGATGACGACGGCAGTAGCAGCAGCGGCGACGGCGGCGGTGGCGGCAGCAATGGCGACGACGAACAACGACGAACGACGTCGGAGGGACCGGCTGATGGAACGGGGCAAATATATGCAGCTGACGATTTTATAAGAGGGTGAAAAGGTAAGGCGAGCAATGCTGGTTAGGCGACGGGATTGCGACTGCTTGCTGCTTGCTTGGCTAGCCGCTAGCGGGGGCCTGGCGCGACACCGACTGTCCGATGCCAGCGCCCCCTCACCCCTCCCCCTCCCCTCTGCCGTTCCCCTTTCGCCCCCACCTCACTTGTCCCACCACTTCTCTTCCACTACTTGCCCGCCTTCTACCTTTCTCACTCTTCACCCTACCACACGCACACCAATCTATTTCTCCTACTCTCTCTTTCCTTCTCTCCAGCCGCTTTCTCATACCATTTCATTCGTTCCTTCACATTCCCCTCCGTCTGTCTCGCTTAATCACACCTACGGTCTTGTACGATTCACACACTCGACCATCAATTCCTCTCTTCTCCGTCTAACATTTTATATCTCTCTCTCTGTCGTTCTTCGTCTAATACGCAACGGCTTTACGTTTCCTCTCCTTCTACCATCTATCGCACAACTATGCACCCTCGCTAATTCGGACTCCCTCGTTCTCTCTCTCTCTCTCGCTCTCTCTCTCTCTGTCCCGCTCCCCTTCGCGTACTCCCTTCGCTTTATCATTCTCACCCTATCTTCGTTAGATCTCCCGGCTCTGTCTCACTCGATCGTACATACGAACTTTCGTGACACACACCGTCTCGCTTTCCCTTCCCATCTTTCTTTTTCTCTCGTTCTCTCACTCTCTCGCTCTCTTTACCCTTCTTCTATCTTTATTCGACCATCGTTTATCTTCCTTTTCCCTCCTTTTCCCGACTACGAGGAGCCAGGATCCCTTCCCCCGCATAATATGAGCTACCCGTCTCGCCCCTCGCTGCACCCATGCGGCCGTATACCATGCCACGTCGCCGTCACCGCCACCACCGCTGCCGCCGTCGCCGCCGCCACCGCCGCCGACGATGAGGCACCAACCGCCCCTCTCCATGGCTCAATAAGCGTCGTTGGCGCGCATGCGCCGATCTAGTCCCCACCACCCACACTCTTCATTAGTCCATCTCTTCTTCTCGTGTCGCCTGACGACCCAGCTTGCTTACCCTGCTGGAGAACCGGCAATGGAGTTAGGTTAGGTTTGGTCGCGCATCGCCCGCTCACTATCACGCTCGCCGCGGGTAGAAGAGGGTTAGTCAATCTCTCTTTCTTGCTTTTTCTTCGCTCGTCTCTTCTCGTTCCTGCCTCTACGAAACAGAACTTGCAAACGCGTGTACTATACATCGGCGTAATCTTGTTTCTCTATGCGCTCGTGCGCAAGAAAAAAGACAGAGAAAGAAGGACGTGAGGGGTAGCGAGATCTGAAGGAAAATTCTTTATATTCGATACCGACGATCTTTCCATATGCCATGACGCGCAACGAGCAAAGATCCTTAGACACGATAAATTTGGATCACTGTAATTACATCATTTGTACCGGCATAGCACACATACGTATAAGTATATATGTATATAATATACGGGAGATCGACGTGTCCGTGAAAAATCATGACGATGGAAGATGATGCACGGTCAATCCTTTCCTCGGATTCTAGATTTTCCACGTAGCGTTCCAACTTCAACGTCGTCTCGATAAAGAACACTTTCACGCGTCACGCTTGATTTCACATTGGCGCTACGTACAAATACACGGAGTAAGTTAAACGGACTTTCGAGACGAAAAGAAAGGTGAAGGAACTTCTGGCTCGTACTGTACACCTGCTTAATCTCGTTCCCCTGGCATACAGAAGAGAAGGGGGTAAAGTGACAGTGTGCGAGGGAGGCAACGAATGAGATCCGTAGAAAATTCTTTATACCGACGCCGATGGCCTCTGTGTGCTACGGTTCGCAGCGGGAAAAGATCCCGGTGTCTGATACAGAAGGACCGTGCATATCGTTTGCACGAATATCTCCGCCCGTACGTTGTACATACGTACGTATACAAACTTATCACGATCTATTGTTACTATTCGTTCTTTCGTTCATTTTTATTTTATATTTTCATTCATCGATCTTGTCTCGGCGAAAAAAAGGAACCATGACTGCACGCATGACACGAATTTTTATTTGCATATTTTTAAAAACGCGTTCCAACTACTTTACGATTTAAAATTATCACGGGAGAAAAATGATGTTAAAAATTACCATCGTTACAGCACTAATGAAAATGTCGATGAACTTTTTCAAACATTCAGGGTACCTCCGATTCGAAACTCTTTCTTCAGGGATTCTCGATACCAACGACGGAAGCGGAAGCGCACCATTCTCGCCTCGCTGCCTCTGATAAGCCGAGCATTCTGCTACCTACACGTACATAAATATACTTTCCGTTCCAAAATCACGAAATTCAACGTGTTGCGTCGAAACACAACGTTATCTTAATATCCTTTGGTTCTCAAT